CCAGGCTGCCCAGGGAGGCTGTGGAGTCTCCTTCTCTGGAGATATTCCAGCCCCGCCTGGACGCGGTGCTGTGCAGCCTGCTCTGGGTGACCCTGCTTGGGCAGGGGGTTGGGCTGGGTGACCCACAGAGGTCCCTGCCAAGCCCTACCATTCTGTGATTCTGTGATTCTGTGCCTAGAGCCAGGGTTGACAAGCCAGCACTTTTTCAGGTCTGATGAAGGTCTTTTAGCACTTTGTTTCAGTAACAGCTGTTGTCTGAGGAGAGCAGTTTCTCAGTTTCCTCGTCTCACACTGAAGAGGAGCGAGAACATTTATTTTTACACTGTGTGGCCTGAAGCCATTTGTTCTGTGCAAACCGCCCCAGCTGCTCTGTCTGCGCTGTGAACAGCTCGCTCGGGTTTCAGAAACAGCCCGCAGAGCCGCAGAGCTCCGCAATCCAGTTCACAGAATCACAGAATCCCAGCATGGTAGGGTTGGAAGGGCCCTCTGTGGGTCATCCAGTCCAACCCCCTGCCCAAGCAGGGTCACCCACAGCAGGCTGCACAGGACCTTGTCCAAGCGGGTCTTGAAAATCTCCAGAGAGGGAGACTCCACAACGTCCTTCTTACTCCAGCTTTGCAGCTGGGTACTTCATGCTGTCGCAGCTAGACTCGTTCAGTCCCCAAGGGAGTCCGTTGTCTCTGTTACCCATAGCAGAGTGTGCGCCTTTCAGTCTTTTATGTCGTTCAGACAGAGAGAGAGAGATGGATGAAAACCAAAACAGTGAAGAAAAAAAGCCAGCCTGCTTTGGGAAAGCCCCTTTGCATACGCTCCTGCTGAGCGAATGTCAAAGCAGCTTTCCCAAAGAATCTGTCTTCCTCTTCCTTCCCAGCAGGGAGTGAAAGCCAGGTGCTGCTGCCGAGGGAGCGCACGGAGCCGTCTAGTGCAGCGGCACAACTACTAGGAGTAGTGGGTAACGGACCTGGAGAAGCGGGAGTAATGCTGCTGAGGCTGATGACAGCTCGTCCCGCGGAGACGCAGCAGTGGCTGGTGAGGGCTGAAGGAAGCCTGGAGGGAACAGCAGCAAAGGCCGAAACACAAGAGGCAGGAGGAGCTTTGGGTTTTTTTGCCAGAGCACCAGCAGGTGATGTTGCAAATACAACAGGCTTCAGAGCTTACTGCTCCCAAACGTTCGAAATCTCACTTTGGTTTCAGTCACTCTAAAACATGAAAAAATGACTTTAAAAAGTCCTTACTGGACTCCTGTTTCTTGTTTTCCACATAGAAGAGTGAACAAAGGGGATATTAGATACAACAGAGCCTACACCCGAGTCTCCTTGCCAACTGGTACGATCGGTTCAATGGACCAAACCCTAATTAAGATAGGAAAAGTCGTTCAGCCTGCCCATGCCAGTGATTCTAACTTGTATATTGCTCCTGTTAGAACAGCCTAAAGCAGCAGATGTTGTATTTCCCCGGTGATGCCCCACTTTCCCCCATCTCCATATCCAGTGTCAGTGAGGAGTTCCCCCTGTTTGTTTTTTCCATTAACCAGGCACTTCCTGGGAAGACGAACAAACCAGTCAGAGGCTACATAAAGAGGTTTCGTGCACTTTTCCGCCAAAAATGAGAGACAATAAATCCACTTCTTCCTCCAGAGCCTCTTCGCCAGCACAGCTTGAAGCCGCTGAGAAACTGAAGCAAGTCAAAACCAGACTGCAGCTGGTGGACCTGGCCGGTAGCGAGTGTGTCGGTAAGCGACCGTGGCCGCTGATGGGCACGGATCCTCCCAGCTCTCGGTTCCAGTGGTGGCCTTTACCCCTTTCTGCAGGGATTTGTGCTACCCTGCCTTCACCCAGAGGGTGGTTTAAACCCACGGACCCTGACACAAACCAGATTTGTGGGCCTGATTGTTCCAGTTTTACGCTGGTACAGTTTAACTGAAAATCTGACTGCATAAGCCTAAAATAATCCCCAGGCCGTTACCCATATCGTAGGTATGTTATTTGTTCAGACTGGTTTTATTAGGCCTGTTTTTCTACTCTGAAAATTAGCATGTCTTTGTACAGAAATGTTTAAAGCGCATAAATTATTTAAATATTACAAATAGCTGTAATAACTGATATCACCACGTGTGGGTTTTTCTGCCTTATTGTGGAAAAAATCCTGGAGGAAGTTAAATGTTGAAAAGATAATATTGTTTTCATTGTTTCTTCAAAGCCTTTTCCTCCTCCCTCCTCCTCTATGCACACAGTAATTTCAAAAACTTGATTATTTCCTAAAGGACAAACTTTCTTACCAAGAAAAGCCATGCAGCCAAATGTACCATTCCAGAAATAATGTTTTGAAAACCGAACCAGTATTATGAAAGAGTCTTTTACTTCACTGCCAAGAATTCTTGCTGTTGCTCACCGTTAAACTTTTGTTCTACAGAGAAACCTAATACAATACATTATTTTTTGCGTTAGCTCTAAGTGCTGGAAACTGTTTGGTGAACATGTAAGTGAGCAACATCGCGTGTGTGTGTTCCCTCAGTTCACCCAGGACAAACACGTACCTGGGCTGGTGCTCGGTGCACCAGATCCTCCAGCGAAGCCCAGAACAACTTTGCTCGCTTACATGGGTGTTTGAGGTGGCCCAGCACACAGAGCAGACCAACCTCTGCCATCAGCTGCGCTGGTGGAGATGTGAAGATGTTGGGCTTCCTCTGACAGAAGCAAGGGCAGCTGTTAACTCGTAACTGCCTTGAAGTTTGGAGGAGTTTCAGTAGCGGGCATCTAGCGCACTTCAAATGTGCACCAGCACCCTGCCTCGTTAGCTCCACGGCTGTCCTGGGTCATTTAGCCTGGAGAAGGCTGAGAGGGGACCTTAGAAATGCCTCTAAATATCTGCAGGGTGGGGGTCAGGAGGACGGGGCCAGACTCTTTCCAGTGGTGCCCAGCGACAGGACAAGGGGCAAGGGGCACAAACTGAGGCACAGGA